ATACAATAACGTCATTTTCTCCCCATGGTTATCAGCAACTCATGGAACACTCCCGAAGGGTACAGTACAGCCGTATGTTCCACCCTACTGTACGGTTGTGAAATTCCGCCTATTAGATCGGCAGTCATGAAGATACTTGTTGCATTCGACCACCGGTGCCTTCGCAATTCAACTCACATCTGATGTGAAGACTGCGTGAGCAATGAGCCTGTTCGACGGCTTGTTCATGGCACAGAACTATTTCTTCAAACTTCAACCACATCCTGCATCTGCCGTCGTGCAGCTTATCAATGCTCGTCTTGTCTGCTACATACAGCAGGGCGTATGGCGTAAGGATTCTACTGCCGGCGCATCCTTTCTTTCTTTTCCACATGTTTCTTTTATTCCCCTCCCATCCCGCATTGCTAGCTTTCCTCATATCATTCCCAGTTTTATTGACAGCAACCCCAACGTCACTGGAGTAATACCATCTGCAGCTATGTTCCCACACCACTCACTGGATACTAATCGCCAACATCTCCGTATAAAGTCACACTCCCGCTTCCCTGGCTGCGTTCAACGTTTGTACTCTGAAACAACAGGTCAACAGGCCGCCCTCGCACACACGTTTAACACACTGGGTATTGATGTGTGTCGGAAATTAGGATCAATGACCCTAATGGGGTTGTTCAATTAACTACGCCCGGTTTGTCCTTTCGCTGTTGGTTGCACGCATCCGGAGACTTTGATTCCGCAATCTCCGGTCAAGCTGGAGTGGGCATTGTTCTCAGCTCCAAGATTGACTCATCCTTAGTTGCTTGGATTCCCATGAACAGTCGTTCGTCTTCAGTCCGTTTGACGACATCAACTAAGGTTGATTCCTAGATTACCACTAGACGCTGTTTGTTTGTGGTTTCCGCTTATGTCCCTACCGATTGCAACTCTGATGCTGCGAAGGACGCTTTCTACCGCGGACTGAACGCGCTGCTATGCAATGCTACTAGTTCAGGTATTATAGTATTTGCAGCGGATATGAATGCACAAGTAGGGCGCCTGAGCTCTTCAGAAGCTCAGCTGGGTAGTAATTATGACTCCGAACGAACTGACAACGGGGAGCGTCTGCTGCAATTGTGCGGAGCACCAGATGTTTCTTAGTAGCACTGCTTTTAGACAGTGGGCGCCGAAGTGCCGCTTGGCGTCCTCCTGGAGCTGGCCAGCGATGGACCCCAATAGATCACATTACCATAGCCTATAGGTGGCGTGGTTCCATCCTGGATCGTCGCTCTTTCTAGAGTACTTGCGTCGACTCTGATCACGCCTTGGTACCCTGTTTTTCCACCATCTTTAGCAGGAGGCGTACCAAATGCCTCCCTCGATTGGCAACTGAGAAGTTATCTCAACCCTCGGTCAGGTAAGGCTACCAAGGCACTGCTTATCGAATTTTCGCTGTCTTGTTCTAATGACACTGAGCTTCAGTGGAATAGGATCTCGGCTGACATGCAACATGTAGGAGCCTCCGCTTGCGGCGCTGTCAATCGTCACCACGCCAATCATTGGATATCCGAGAAGTCGATAAACATATTGGAACTAAGAAGAAACTCCTGAGGGAATCTGACCCTGCGTACTGACAAGCAAGCCCGGTGGAACAGTCGTACTTAAGAGATGGAGGAGGCAGGAACAATAGGCACTTATCGCATGCTCCACCAGCTGATTCGCATCACTGATCCCAGGAAACCAGGCGTCAGCGGAACAATCAGGTACAGTGCGGGTGCCCTGATTAACAATAATGCGCGCTGTATGGTTCGTTGATTGGAGCGCTTCCGAGAGCGGTTCAGTCGTCCTCCTGCTTCTGGACCTCTTCCTACTCAGGTCTTGCAGGCTGAATCATGGCCAGTTAGTTTCGAGGCTCCGTCGGAGGCCGAGCTCCGAAACACGATCACGGCCCTTAATCGTTTTCGTGCTGCTGGCCCGGATTCCCTTACACCTGGACTGCGTGAGTATGGTGGTGAGGTCATTTGCAGCGCACTGACCTCGCTGTTCGACCAGGTCTGGAAGGCACAGACCATCCCAGCTAACTGTATTGTATCAATTATAGTGGTAATATACAAGAAGAGCAGTCACACTGACTGTGCTAACCACAGGAGTATTAACCTTATGCCGGTGGTGATAAAATTACTGACCTCAATCCTCATTCGTCGCCTCACTGCGAGCGCGAATCACGGATTAAGAAAGAGCAGGCAGGCTTCCACTGGACGGGGCTGTGTGGACCACATATTCACTCTACGTCAGGTGCCAGAGCAGCGCCACACATACCGCAGGCCGACAATAGCTTTGTTCCTCGACTTCTAGGGTGCGTTTGACTCAGTCGACCGATGCACTCTGTTCGAAGTACTTTCGCGAAAAGATGTTCCCATGAAATATGAGAACACTTTGCGTGCTCTATACTTGAACATGACATGCCGCATCAGGATCTACTGTGCTTTCTCGAATGTTTTTTCGACAAGTGGCGTTCGTCAAACTTGTACAATTCCTCCTTTTTGTTTTCTTTCGTTGTGAATTCCATCTTAGAGTGTTCCCTTTCAGAATCACAGGATGCAGGCGTTGAGATGCTGCCTGGTGAAAAGCTAGTTGGTTTTGATTATGTGGACGATATTGCCCTACGTTTTAACGATATTGGGGCGGCGCAGTCAACCCTGAACAATCTCTCTATACTGGTCCCATCATTTGACATGCGCTTCGCACCTTCAAAGTGCAAAGTGCTGTTACAGGACCACCAGCCACTCAATGACCCCTTGATTCTTAATGGCAACTGAAATTAGTTCACGCATTGCAAAATCCCGAACTGCTTTCTTGTATCTGCGACATATTTGGCGACAGAAAGGCCACAATGAGGGCCGTCCTACTTTATGGAAGCGAGACTTGACCCCTCCGATCTTAATAACTGAGACGCCTTCAAGTCTTTAAACATCGTCTGCGAGGCATTGCTGGTGTCTGATGGCAACAGCGTGTCCGCAACGATGATATTCGTAAGCAGGTACTAGGCAGTGATAACCAAACTGGTTCCTTGAAACTACAGATAGCACAATAAGTCGCGTTGCCTTGGGCACGTGCCACGTATGCCTGACCACCGCTTACCGATGAGGGTGTTGTTTTTGTTTACCAGATGTTAGGTGGCGCAAGGGTCGATATAGAACAAGTTGACTTGTCAGCGAGATACAAAGTCACTGACGATCAAACTCAGTGCCGTCGGGCCGTCTCGCCTTTCATGCTGGAGTCCAGGCAACCTGACTTATGCTTGGCTTGAAACGTTACAGGACATGGCTCGCAGTCGACACCAGTAACGTATCTATTGTCGTCTAATTGGGTTGCATCTAAACTGAATTATCTGCTGGGTAATGGTTGATTATGACGCGGGGCAGTGAAAGCCGCAAGGAAGCTGTCTCGCTGATGCTGCCTTATCTTTGCACGTTAGGCAGCTGTTTGTGATGGTATGCTGTAGACAATGTGTAAGCGCCTTAACCCTGTGTTTGTTTAGGGTATTGAGGTTTTCTGGTTAGTCCCCTTTCTCTCCCTTTTGTTATTCTTCCTTTCGTAGGTTGTTGTGGTTGTATGACACCGAAGCATCAGTTCAAATGGCTGATGGTGCACTGGAGGGGGAAGTGAACCGCTCAATACCTGTATTTCGCGCACCAGGCTCTGATGGCTCAGCATCGTGTTGTGCGTGTCAGCACACCGACTCCTGCGAAGTGGTTTGTTTTCGCGCCGGGGTGTGCATGGGAGAGGTGTGACCAATCGATAACTTGGTCAAGAGGAATGAAAGCCCTCAATTCGAAGTTGGCCTGGTTTGTGGCGTCAGCTCCCTTGTTGGGGCCCAAAACTCGATGAACACCTTTGACATGGCTAGGAGCCGACGTCAGTGACCTACCCATTGTCAACGACATGCCATCACAAACAACTGGCTGTCGTGCAAAGATAGGACGACGTCGGCGAGATAGCTTCCTTGCGGCTTTCACTGCCCCGCGTCATAATCAGCCATTACTCCACGGATAACAGGACCCAACACCCTTTAAACAGGCAGCTCTCCTAGGAGAGGACAGCAGACACGCCACTGATGCCGACTGCGAGCCATGTTCTGTAAGGTCTCGAACCACGCACAAGGCGAGTCGCGTGGACTCCAGCCCCGAAGGCGAGACGGACCGACGGCACCGAGTTTGGTCGTCAGTGACTTTATTTCTTGCTGCCAAGTCAACTTTTGTCCACCTCGAGCCTTGCGACACCAAACAGATCATGATGCTCGCAACGCTGCACTCTCTTCAGACGCGGTTCCGGTGACCGAATTGATCGGGGCTTTATTCGAGGTGAAGCGCGGTCCATATTGCGATTGTGCGTCCTAATCTATTCATGCGACGGGGTTTTCTCAATAACTTTGCATTACCTGTAAACGCGGTTACTGTAAATTATTGGTCTGTATACTGCCACACGGCTTGCATATCTTGGTGACCAATTAAACACTCCAAGAGTTACCACCTTACGTACTTCAGTTTACTATCGTGCGGACCGAGGGATTATTCCGAGAGTAGTAGAAAACGATGGTCGGCAATGAAGCTTAAACACTTCAGCCCATTTGTCTTTTTCATGCTATGCTTCTTTCCTGAATCCAAATCAACTACAGTCCAACCTGCCATTGCGGCCACCTGTCTAGGCGACCAGCCAAAAGCACCCCCAATCTTTTCTCCTATGAGTAATGTCCCTATGCATAAATTGTCCAAGGTGACCATTTTTATCGGTCCCTTGAGTGGTCGCCTTAGACTGGTTTGGCTGTATTATCATTGCCCCCCACTAATTATCTACTGTTTTACACTCTTCTTAGGAGATGACTTCACAAAATTCGCTGGTAGTTTCAGTGTTATATAGTGCTTTGTTCACCAACTTGCGGTCAGTGTTCATTACTTCCTGTCATTTACATAAGTACTTGATACGCTCCTTATTTAGCCTGTACACAGCTTTTTCTGTCCTTCTAGGCGCTCTCTCCCAGGTCAGCTCACGTTCGAAAAGCCCGAGCACATGGTTCACAAACGGTGCTATCCAATATTTCACTGAGACAGCGATCAGATACTCAAGTCTATCAACCCTCTTCATTACAGCCCATTGTTCATGACTCGTCGTTTCACTACATTCGAACATTTGATGAAGCAAAAAGTCAAACAGCAGGCAAATTAACTGAAATGGGCTTCGCCTTAACCCGCCTTCCTAAGGAGGACATCCTAGACGAATGTTGTTCACCAGATGTACTTCCCCATCGACATGATGCTACTGCCCAACTCGGCTGCGAAACCGTGAGCGAATTGGAGGCACATGATGGGACAACAGCAGACATCAAACGTTCCTTAAATTGCGCTACTCACATGGACCGAGAACCCAGCGAATCTTTAGCAAATCATGATGAGCTAGCAGCAGAAATATCCGCTATCGAGGAGAATGAAGACACAGATGATTCCGACGAAGCGGAGGCGTAAGTTTCCCCTACAATCTCCAGTGTCATTTACTTCATACTTTTACGATCTCTCCGTCCCCAGTAGGATAACCATTTCACCTCTTCGATGATTTTGCTCGCATGTTGCCCTAGATCTCCGCCTTAATAACCAATTTGCTATTTGTTCTCTCAAATTTCGTTCGTACCGTTACTAATTTAGATCTGGTCTTGCCATTGTAAGCGACAAACTTCGCCTAGAGGGTATTGGCAGCGCGTTCCCGTTGGGTTAAATCAGCAGTGATATACAAACCATTACATAAGCATTAACAATACATACCAACACAGTGACGTTTCTGACTCAAATCAGGTACCTTGGCGAGAGAGCAATCGAACTATGCTTCTCAGTGACAAGGGTCCAAAGTATCAGCAACGCAATGTACTGCATCCTCCTCTTCCTCATCGATGCACGTTAGATGAGCGTGGGAGAAACCTAAGCTATTGTGCCAGCTAATACAAGACGATAAGATACTAAACATGGCAGAATACAAAAAAATACAAAGCAAATGAAATAATGCTAATTGTCATATTTTACATTGGATATGTGCTCGTTCTTGGAGAAGGAAGTTAAGGGGAGGGGAGGAGAATGAAACAACTCTAACGCCATTGACGTAGGCTTATAGCCATGTCAACATTCGCCTAACCCGACGAGTTCCTCTTCCTTCGAATCCTAGACCGGTAGTCGGGGGACACCAACCGACGCCAATTTCAAGCTGAGGGTTTTCATTCCTCTTGACCAACTCATCCCTTGGCCTTCCTTGCTGTTCAACGGTCCAGACCCCCTTTCTAGGGCTACTTGAACCGTTTGTGAGCTATGACAGCTAGGAGCAGTGTCATCAGCATACCAAGTCAAGAAGTCGTTCATCTGAGATCAGCTCCACAGTGGACGCGGTTTCTATGACTTCGTCAACAGCGAAATTGAAATGGAATGGTGACAGTGGACACTCATGGAGATATTGTAAGACAGCGACGTCTTGAAGTTAGCTCTCACTATATCCGAGCTACGCGCGTAAAGCAATATATCAATATTTACGCATTTTCCGGAAACATCTTACCTTATCAGACAATCCCACAGAACACATCGATTCACCGAATCAAACGCACCTTTGATGTCGAGGAACACGACAGGGGTGGGCCGCCAATATATGTGACGGTGCTCCAACAATTGACGTAAATTGCAGATGTAATCAACACAGCCGCGACCTCGACGAAACCCGACCTACTCCTAACGAATTTCGCTTTCACAGGTGCCAGTCTGTGAGGAATGACAGGCAATTAAGATCTGACGGATTACTATATAGCTGCCGCATTCCGAACGTGGGCGTCTCTTGACGATCAGGATAATAACAGAGCGACTTCCGTCGTTTGGAACAGTTTCTTGCTCCAATGTTCACTAATAATTCGTGTGTCGTCAACAAAAGCAGATACCACAGATTTGAAAAGGGTTGGATGAAGATCATCTGATCCCCCCGTCTTGTTTAACTTGGATATCGAGAAACACATCTGCGGTAGGTCGCCGGTAAATATGCCTGTGTCCTAACAACTACTGTAACATGAAGCTGTGATCAGTACAGCCACAATTTCGATGAAACCCGGCTTGTGCGTCGTGAATTTGGTTTTCACGCGAGCCAACCAGGCTGTTGAGATCGACAGACGCACGCAACTTAACAGCAATTGGGTTCAGACTGATTCCTCATATGACAGGCAATATTGCTGGATTAGATGATTGCGCTGATAGGGCGTATGTTGCGTAGTTGTTGAACTGGTATGAGATCATTCTGCCTGAAGCACTCAGCAATTTGATCACAGATCCACTTGTGTGTAGGGAGAAGTGAATGGATTATAGTTATCGACTTGGAATATGATGCAGAGCCACAAATATTGAGAATGTCCATAGTCTGGGCATTCGTATATTAACTACAGTCATCTCTTCATGAATTGTTCAGGTTGAATAAGATCTATCATAAGGAGTTGTGAATCAGTCTCTTCCGTTCATCCTAATTTCCGATACGTGCTTGTCTCCCTGGAATTGGGCAACGAATGCACTCACTTTCAAGTTCACCTCCAGTGTTTCATTCTACTTTAATGACCGACTCTTCACGTGCCATGACATCGACACAACCCAAATTTATACCCACCAGTGGCCCTTAACATTGCGAATTCTTTTTCATCCTCATGCACACCAGCGTTACCTATATCTACGTTCGTTCACTAATCGATACACGGTATTTGGACTACTCAATCTGTTCAACAGTCTGCATCGAATCCATTCTGTGAATCTATTAAGTTTTGATATACTCATCAGTGGGGGGTTTTAATCTAGATAATTGAGGTTCAGCACAGCCAGCTTCCGAATCAGATAGTCGTCCACATGCCCGGAAAAGCACTAGACTGCAGTTTTAGCAGTAGTGCCCATCCCTCGTATCCATCAGAATTCGAACCCATGACCACCAGCGGCTTGCACCGCCAGTTAGCAACTTATGCCACTGAGCCACGGGTGATTTACTAGCGCGTCTTATCCTCCACTGCCATGCAAGTTACGAACATTGCAGAGGACAGGGTTGGCCCCGAAAAACACGACATCCACCAACAGTAGCCATTTGCGACATAACATTTCGAAACTGTTAGGGCGGCTATATTTTCATGTGGACGACTGTCTGGTTCGGAAGCTGGTTGTGATTAACCTCAATTATCTATATCATATATATATATATTTATATATAGACTCATGAGTACATCAAATATATCGCAGTTAGCTTGTAAATCATCACGGTCTGAAGCTATCCCCCGTGGCTCAGTGGCATAAGCTGCTGACTGGCGGTGCAAGCCACTGGTGTTCGTGGGTTCGAATCCTGATGGATACGATGGATGCGCACTGCTGATGATGCCCAACAGGCTGAAACTGTAGTGTAGTGCTTTTCCGGGCATGTGGACGACTATCTGATTTGGAAGCTGGCTGTGATGAACCTCAATTATCTATTAAGTTTTATCCAGCAGAATGCAGTGGTCCCAGCTACTGACACATTGCCATAGCAGTAACAACTAACGCAATCTGTACATTTGCGCTGCTCTCTCGGCATCTTTACTGACAGTGATTAATGCTTCGCAATTTCACTCGGCCAAGGAGGATCAATCATCAAGTGTATTTACCGCGCAGTGATCGAAGCAATACTATGGGGGACTTTACACTCCTTGCATGATGATTCGGAGCCAACCGTCCCTCAAACTGATCAACCTTACAGCTGCTTTCGGTAACACTTTTTTAAACTTGCTACCACAGGTAATATGGTTACCCTCACCAATTCCAATGGCTGTGCGGCGGTCGTATTGTCACATGTCGCCCCAGCCCCACAGTAGGCATGTCTGAGTGTGCAGGACTACTATGCATCAATTTACTTAGGGGCTCGGTACTAAAGTTGGTTTTAATCCGCAGAAATCTACATCCGACACTTAATACAAGTTTGTCGATTTGTTTTATAGTTTAGTTCAATCAAACTCCGGTTATCGGTTACACCGGCTACTCTTATACTTGTTGCAATATTTGGATGCCACTTAGTTTGTGCATAAAACAGGTGTGAGAAGGACACAACCATATAGAAATTTTCGAAGAGAACGAACGGAGGAGCTACCAGACAGGGAAGTCAACAAGCAGAAAAATGCACCGAGTTGAGACGCCATTAGTTTCGCACTTGCAGTCTTTCTGGGAGAGTAGCATAAACGAACTGAATTGAAACATGAAAGTATACTTGGATGCAGAATTTCCACGAATCAGCCATCTTTTAGTAAGTCTTTGAGTTGATCATGAAACTGGTCATTACTGACCAGGGCATCACTAAACTGTGAATGACCTTTTCATTTAGAACTCTGCTTTATCAATCACACAAGTACGCTTTTCTCAATGTAGCATTAGGTTGATGTTTGAACCCCAATGAAAAGCGTTGCGTTAAGGCATTGCAACATCGTCCTTATTGCTAAACGCAGCACAGCTGTGTCGTTGCTCTTGGATGCAGCACAACATCCTATATGCATACCATGTATGGCCATTCTGACTGGTTTACTCACTCGTCTCTTCAGAAAAAATCCTTATCTGAACGGCTTCGGTGGATCTGATGTGTCTGAGTCGCTTTCGACGAACAATGTAAGGTATTCTGGTGAACTCTTTACTACTCACGTCTAACAAGCAAAGTCTTACATTGCTCTATTTAGGATGGTTGAAATACGAGACTATCTCACAATGTTTTCACGTCGGTCATCTTACTCCTTACTTCGATATACTTTGCTGCAGTCCCGATGCTATGGAATAGAGAAAGTACTTTGCACGATCCAACGCTCTTCCATCTGTGGAACAGATGGCCAACATTGAATACATAAATCTTAGTTTTATCTCTTTTCTACCTTGTACGCTATCCCAGTCGGCATCCGCATGTTTGGACTGTTTTTCATCCTGTTGAAATTGTCCACGATGTTCATGAAAGTGGAATTGGTGCATCTCTCCATCATGCTATGGCCAAACTAGAAGGCGCGCAAGCAGTACATTGCATACTGTATGTTAAAGCTGACTGGTTGGCTTTAGTTTGTGCCCCCTCCTTTAATGAAGGAGACGAACCCAACCATAGCACTGGTCAGCATCCTCATCTGGTGCGCAGTGGCTGAATAGCCACTGTTTTCTTTTTTGGCCACTAATCAGTTCGGTTTCACGCTTTTTTAAGTTTTCTTTTCAAAATTTCTTTTTATCACTTGATTTCCACCTCTGTTTCCTATTTTCATTACTATGCGATTTGGTACTTTGCCTACAGAACTCCGGCACTCAACCTCAACTAGCCCTCCGAGAGTGAAAACAACGCCGGGGTTGCCGTTAGATGCCATCTACAAATATGCTTCACTATTGTATTGTATTGTATTCTCAACAGTCTATTAGCTAGACAAAGAGCCAGCCTAAAACCATGGAGATAAGGAGATAAGCAAGATTCATGGCGTCATAATCATCGTGGCATGCTAGTTGAAGGTGAGCAACACACTTCAACTAATATGCCGCAGGAAGAATGGAACATTTTGATAAAAAGCAGAACAAAACATTTTTAGTTTGTTTTTCACACGCCGCTTTTGTTCTTTTTTGTCATTTTAATGTTTGTAGAATTAAACATGTGAATCAATACAATAATGTACACAATTCTTCCACTGATTCCGGTTGCGTGCCATATCTTCAAGAGTGCTAAGCCATTGGCACTCCTCATCTTTGGGTCCCCATCCTGGAAGACGTACGGATCCTACAGCGGCTAGACACGACGTCAGCGATTTCATGTGCTGCCGCCAAGTGGAAGGCTGACCACCACGCGGTCGCCTCCAGCCAGGTCCTTGACGAGCGAATAGAGCGCGACGCGGTAGACGCTCAGGTGTCATGCGTAGAACGTGACCAAGCCATCTCAACTGGCGCAACAAAACCAGTTTGTTGAAGGGAATACTCGCATTCCCCAAGATGCGACGTCGAACGTCATTACTATTTACTCGATGTTGCCACCAAACACGCGCGATCCTCCTTAAGCAACCGTTATCGAACGCAGAAAGGCGACGCATGTCTTCCACGCGAAGCGGCCAGGACTCGCACCCATACAACAATATTGAGCGAACCGATGCACTGTAAACTCGGCCCTTTAGTGAGACGTCGCGACGACGCCACAAGTGCCTCAAATTGACAAATGCCGATCGAGCTTTAGCGATACGAAGAGAAACTTCTTTGTTGATAGTGCCATCAGCAGAAATACAGCTCCCAAGGTAGACGAAACTATCTACCTGTTCAAGTTGTGCACCATCGAGAGTGAGTACGGGAGCAGGCGAATGTCAATCTTTGAGCAGTATTTTACACTTCGATGGGGCGAAGCTCATGCCATACTTAGATGCTTCAACCGCCAAACGATCCAGAATGAGTTGCATACCCTGAGGATCGTCACCAAGTAAGGCGATATCATCAGCATAATCTAAGTCGGTCGCGCGCTCACCCGGTAGAAGCTCTAGGCAAAAATGTTGGAAACCTTCTAGGGCATTCGACAGAACGTCTTCGATTGCGAAGTTGAAGAGGAATGGGGACATAGGGCAGCCCTGTCGCACACCGCTATGGACAGCGAATTGCGAGGAAAGCTTGCCATAGACCCTCACTCTGCCGGATGTATGAAGGTAAAGTGCTCGTAAGATTACGGTATATTTCTCTGGCACCCCGTTCTTTAGCAACCACCGCCATAAAGCAGGACGATCAACGGAGTCAAAAGCGGCACGTATGTCTAGAAATGCAATGATAGTGGGCCTGTGATAAATGTGTTGATGTTCGAGGAGCTGGCGGAGCGTGAAGATTTGATCCACGCATCCGCGGCCAGGACGGAAACCAGCTTGTTCTTCACGGTAGTATGATTCACGTACTGGGGATAGTCTGCGAAGCAGAATGGATGCCAATAGTTTAGAGGCAACCGAAATAAGACTAATCCCGCGATGATTTGCACATGAAGTGCGAGCGCCTTTCTTGAAAATCGGGATAATGACTGATTCGCCCCAAGAGGAAGGCACTTTCTCTTCATGCCAAATTTTTGCGAACAGCGCGGTCAGCTGGTTAATGATCGCCACACCGCCGTACTTGAATAGCTCCGGAGAAAGTCCGTCTAAGCCGGCAGCCTTGAAGCGCTTCAAGCGTCGAATCTCAAGGCCGACTTCCGCTTCGCTGGGTGGATTCAGAGGGACGAGCCAGGGTGGACAACAACGTGTACTGCATGTACTGCTGGATGGTGGAGGTCAGTTGAACTGCGAGTGAAAGTGCTCGGCCCAGCGGTCCATACGCCTCTGGTGGTTGGTGATCGGAGACTCATCCACCTCACAAATGACCTCACTGACACCAGGTTTCCTGAGGCCAATGGACCGAATGAGTTGGAAAAGCCTGCGAGTGTTGCCAGAGAGGGCAGCGGTCTCCATCTCTAAAGCACGTTCAGACCACCATGTCTCGCGATCCTTGCGTAGGCTTTGCTTGAGCAGCCAGTTGGCAGAACGGCGCCGCTCGTTGCAATCTGTTTCCGCGGGGATATCTTTGCGGCGTTCGAACAGCTCCAGAGAACGAGCAGAGATCCAAGTCGTCAATGGGCGTCGAGTTAGGCCGCAGTATGACTGTCCGGAAATGGTCATTGCCTTCCGTATACAAGTCCAGTGTTGTTCCACTTCTTGCGGTGGATTGCAACTGAGTGCATATGCCAATGAAGACTGATAGCTCGTCTGGACAGAGGAATCAGTTAATCTGTTTACATCAATCTTGCGGTGCTTCGTGTTTCGGGATCCTCCAAAACACATACAGATTTTCGCGCAGACCAGAGCATGATCTGAGTCAACGAATGTGGACCAAAAGGACCTGCAGTCTAGTACGCTGCCGCGCCATCTGAAGCTAATTGCAATGTGATCAATTTGAAACCACGGTTGTGTTGAAGAAGGGGGACGCCACGTTGCGGAACGCTTCTTCGTACGCCTGAAGTTAGTGCTCGAAAGAAACAGACGGTTGTCTTCGCACAATGTAAGAAGCCTCTCTCCGTTATCAGAGCGGTTCTCATCGAGCGCGTGATGACCACCAAGGTGGCGTTCGTATGATAAGAGACGGCCAACCCGTGCATTAAAATCCCCAGCAAGGATAACGACATCCAACATTTTAGCATTAGTCAAGAGTTGTTGTAGATCCCGATAAAATTCGTCCTTGACTGAGTCGCCACTGCAGTCAGTTGGAGCGTACACAGAGATCACAAACAAGTTGTGTCTCTCTTCGCGGTGCCTGTTGATTCTACACGAACCCCGAAGCTGAACTGCACATAATCGGCTGTTAATAGGGAATCAGTCCAGTAGTGCCGCCTCGGCCTTGTCACTTAGTGCTATACCTACACCAGCCAGATCCGCTGAGGCTGCTTCTGGATCTCCAGAAAGACGTAGGTGATATCTGGCTTCGTGGTCAGTGGGGGATGTCAGTGTAAGCACAGTGCTGGGATCTTGCAATCGGGTTTCTGAAAGGCAGCAGACATCAATATTGAGGGACTCTAGGTTGCGCGCTAGACCGGCTTGCTGTCCAATCTGTCTGAGTGTCCGAACGTTGAAGCACGCAAGAGGGAACGAGGATCGGGGAGGAAGGAGAGCCATGGGTTGAACCTCTTGATCTGCGACGCAACCGGAATCGCAGCCAGATTGCTGAGCACATGAATCGGGTAAAGGAAAATGAGGATTGTCAACAAACAAACAATTGGCGTGTGATGAAGTCGCGTGAAAGTGACTAGCAGAAACAGCAGCTGATGAGCAAGTTGTAATACAGTCCATGGTTTTGCGAGAGGGCGTGATACTACCCGGTTTGCCCAAACCGAAGTAGGGAGTTGACTTAGGGGACTCCACCCCGAGCCTTTGGTTAAATAACCTACCCGCAAGTCAGCGGGGCGAATTTAGGGAATCGCGCCCATTGGGAGGCGTTGACTGAATGTTCAGTTCATGCGTCTTTGTTTGGTAGATTACCAAACAGGGGCCCAATACTCCCCATATAGTCAGCACACCTGCTGGAATACAATGTCCCACCGAGGTGGAACATTGTCGCCGAACACTTTGCTGGAACGGGGTACACCCGAACCACCCAGCTGGCACCACGAGGAGGTAGTTCGGCCAGCCAGCCATTTGCTTCACTATCTCATCGTGGCTTGTTTCAGTGGCTTCCCTTCTTGCTGTCATTCCCCCTGAGTTCGTAGGCGCTTGCGCGCTATCCCCTCACCCCTTCACCAATCAATTCACACCTGTCTTTTCTAAGGCCATGTTGAACCTCGGTAACATGAGGTCTCACCGGTTCTGAATTATCTTTCCGGTCGGTGCACTTATGATCACTTTGCGCCAGTGACGCTTGTTTGGCTTTCGCCGCTCTGGTCCCACATCGACTGTGTTCACCCAGCTGACCAATCACTATCGCACCCTGTGTTAAGAGCTTAGGTTCGTTGACACGCAGCCTGCTCGCTCGCTGTTACCCGAACCAGTCCGCTTCTTCCTTGCCTGTGGCCCCACTGCGCGTTGTTCATGCTCGGTCGAACCAATTTATCATTCTTCATGCAGCCTATGCAATTGCATTGGACTTGCATGAGTGACACTTGATTAGCGTCATTTCGGTTCGCCGCATCTGTCAGTTACCGTCACATTCAGCACACGGTCGGAATATCAATTGTGATCGTGTTGTTGAAAAAGAACCTCCAACGCGAAATGAATTAATGTGGGTAGTATAAATGTTACGTTGAGGGGCTTGGTGACTCCTCGGGATCACATCTTCTCTGCAGCTTCTCTCTGGATAGTATGCTAACCGAATATATCTATACGGACTCGTTCTATTGAAATTGAACCCACATCTTTCTTGGTAGTATTCATCCTTTTGCATGTATGTTACTGTGTTATTGTCTTTTCCAATCGCTTTATTTTATTGTGTTGTGTGTCGGTCAGTCTATTGTTCCATAGGGTGCTTTTTACCTGAACGCCCCACCTTCTCTACCTATTTTCTGTTTTTCAGCTACGCATTCATTCACAGTCTCCCTCCCATATCACCGGAGTTGAACTGTCAGCCTCCAGCGTTACCAAAGCGCACACGTTCCTCCCCTGAATTTTGCCTTGTTCTGGACTTGGATGAAACGCTAGTCCACTGTAGCCTAAATCCTCTGGCAGACGCCCAGTTCATTTTCCAAGTTGTCTTCCAAGGCGTAGTGTACATGGTACGTCACCAACCAATTTTTCTACGTCTTCTGTGGTCTCACTTTTCCTTTGGTTTTGAAAAGCTGACTTTCAGTTTGGTTGTTAATTTTGCACTCTGATTCGTCTTGACAACCGATTCTTAAGTAACGCTACACAGAGGTGGTCACGTGATGACCGCTTTTAGTGTTACTCATTGTATTTATCGCACTCGTCTCTTAGACCTCACAATCGCGTTGTTCGGTTTACTCAGCCCGAGGGAATACATCCTGTGAATTGAACCAACAATTACTAAGTAGTAGAGGGTTTTGATGTTGGTTTCTCCCATCCTTGCACTTTGCAACTGACGGTTTCGTACTTGTTTAGGCCTATCAGACAGATAACGTGAGTTTGGAGTGGAACTCGGTACCTAGTGCTTGGCGGCTATCGCCAGTATCACTATTGAGACAACGGTAGAACTTGATTATCGGATTTTGGATTACCCGCCGTGTGTATTAGATTGCGACATGTGCCCATTGAGATATGGTCCTACCAGGCTTGTCATTGGCTAGAAGTCAGACAAACCCAATCTCCTGGTCCTCCAGGTTGTGGGTTTGGAATGGAATGGCGTCCATTTCTGTAAAACCAGATCGTTGTCAAATCCGCTGCATTGCGGACAGATTTTTGTTCTGAAGATTGATGAGGACCCTAATCGTTCTCTTGTCTATATCTGGGCGCCCTGGCAGTATCTCAGCCTACGCTCAACCATGACTATTTCTTCAAACATCAACCGCACCCTACATTGATCGTCGCACAGCTTACCAAGGGTCGCCTGATCTGCTGCATATAGCCCGGGGGAATAGACGAAAACATGCTACTGTTAACGCTTCCTTTCTTTCCTTTCCACCTGTTTCTTTTATTTTCTTCTCAGTCCCCCTTAGCCTTCTTCCTAAAATTCCCAGTTTAATTGACACTACCCGAAATGCCACTGGAGTCATACCGTCTGTAGCTATCTTCCCGCATCACCTACTGGACACGAATCGCCAACAGCTCCTTATACTGCCCCACTATCCCTGGCGGTGTGCAACGTTCACACTCTAAGTCAACTAGGTCAACAGGTTGCACATAATTTGGACACACTGGGTATTGACGTTTGTCGTGTGTCTCAACTTAGTATCAATGATCCTCACGGAGTTTTGAATTAACTGCGCCCGGCTTGTTCTCCCGCTATTGGTTGCACGTATCCGGAGACGCTGATACGGCAGTCACTGGTCAAGCTGGAATAGGTATCATTCACATCTGTAAGGCGGAGTCATTGTTGCTTGATTAGATTTTCGTGAGCTGCCTTTTGTGTACAGGCAGTTCGACGACTTCAAATAAGGTTGATTCACAAACTAGTACAAGACACTGTTTGCTTGTGATTTCCGCTTATGCTCTCACCGACTGCAGTTCGGATGCTGTCAAGGACACGTTCTATCACGAACTGAACGCGCTACTACGCAGTGCTACTAGTTCAGATAGTATAGAACTCGCAGGGAATATGAACGCACAACTAGGGCGTCTGAGCTTTTCAGAAGCTTTGCTAGGTGGTGAGTATGGGCGGACATTGGCGAGTGTCCGTCGCAACTGTGTCCTGAACACCGGTTCTTTCCTAGTAGCACTGTTTTAAACACATTGAGCGCCGAAGTGGTATCCTCCTATGGTTGGCCAGCGATGCACCCAAACAGATAACTTTACCATAAGTTACAGGTGGCGTGCGTCCATCCTGAATTGCCTCTAGTTCTGGGATACTTGCCTCCACTCTGATCATGCTTTGACACCACGTTTTTCCATGAGCTTTACCAGTTGGCGTACCAAGCGTTTCTCTCAATTTACGACTGCGAAAGTTGTCTCAACCTTCGGTCAGGCAAACCTACCAAAATGCGCTGTATACCGAACTTTCGCTCTGTCGTCTTAATGACATTGGGCTTCAGTAGAATACGATCTCAGCAGTCATGCACGATGCGGGAGCCTCCAATTGCGGCGCAATCAGTCATCACCGCACCAATCACTGGTTTTCCGAGAAGTCATTGAATGTATTGGAATCCAGAAGAAAACTCATGACTGTCTCTGAGCACAATGTGACCAGATAGACTATTAGACACGAACTAAAGCGGAGCCTGCACGGTGACAAGGAAGCCTGGTGGACCAGTATGGCTCAAAAAATGAATCAAGCTGAAACAGTAAGTAACTATCGCAAGCTCTTCCAAATGATCCGCTCCACTGGTCCCTGGAAACCTAGTGTCAGGTAGACAGTCAGAGACAGCGTGTGTGCACTGTTTCACAATAATGAGCGCCGTTTGGCTCGTTAGGTGGAGCACTTTCGAAATCAGTTCACTTGGCTCTCTGCTCCTGAATTTCTTTCTATTCAGGTATCGCATGCTAAGCCATGACCAGTTAGTTTAGAGGCTCCGTCGGAGTCTGAGCTCTGAAACGAGATCGCATCTCTTACTCGTCTGTGTGCTGCAGATCCCGATTCTTTCATATCCGCGCTATCTAGGATAGCAGTGAGATCCTCTGTGCAAAAGAAGAAAGAGGTTACACAGCGGAAGGGCGTACGGAATTTCAACATCGAGGAAGCTCATACTGCAAATTGCAAAAGCGTGGTATAAGCATTGTAATGGCATCTATTGGTTTTCGCCCACATATTCGGAACGAACAGATTGATGGATTGTTTGCCGCCCAATTTGATTGTCTCCCGCACGCGTCTTGCTTCAACACCAACAGCATATCAGAACGTCGCCAACTGGCAATTAACCGGATGACTGCACAGCTGCCTCAGTATGGTGAAATCCATCCACTTGGCTTTCCGCAAGTGCCATTTTTCGTAAAGCGAACTCTCCGTCATCTGTAATGAAGTCTATGTCGCGATAGACAGCTACCCACTAAAACAAATCCGCTGCTTGCTCATCTGCTTCTTCTTTACCTCCGTGACCATTTCGTATCACGCCTTCAGAGAATCAAAAACGAAGACAGCTGCAATCAGAACCTATTTTGATCAGAAGGCTCCGTTGAGCGATTCCGATTTATTCTTTCTTGATTGGCTGTCTCTGGCAATTAAGCATATTCATCGATGGAGCCAGTTGCTCGCGCTGGCTTACAAGGCGATTCTCGTGCACGCGTGTAGGCGTTGTTGCTCGACTGGCGGCCAACAATCGATCACGAGCGGCCTCTTGCCTGTTCGTTCCGAATGTGTAAGCGAATACAACAGCTATCATTACACCGCCCATACCCAGCTAACTGGAGTGAATCCATTATAGTAGCAATATACAAGAAGGCAGTCACATCGACTGTGACAACCACTGAGGTATTTGGCTAACGCCGTTGGCGACAAGATTACCAGCTTTAATTATTGTTCGTCGCTTCACTGCGGAGCGAGAGTCCTGAATTAGTGCAAAGCAAGCAGATTTCCGCCCATGGCTTGGCTATACAGTCCACATATTCACTCTGCGGAAGGTGCTAGAGCAACGCCACACGTACCGCAGGCCGACAATTACTGTGTTCCTCCACTTCTAGAGTGCGTTCGCTTCACTCGATCGATGCATTCTGTTCGAAATACTTGCACGAAAAAGGTGTTCCCATGAAATCTTTGAACACCACAGGCTGCGTTAGGGTCTACGGCGACTTGTCCGATGTCTTTCCGACATGTTCGTTCGTCAGGGTTGTCCAACTTCCTCATTCTTGTTATACTTTGTCGTGGACTCTATCATGAAGTGTTGCGCTGCGGAGCCTCACGGTTCAAGTGTTGACGTACTGCCTGGTGATAAGTTGGTTGATCTTCGTTATGCGGATGATGTTGCTCTGCCGTTTGAAGATGTTGGGGCGGTCCAGTCAACACTGAATAGCTTCTCTAGAGTGGTTCCATCATTTTAAATGGGCTTTGTACATTCAAATTGCAGTGTTGTTGCGGTACTACCAGTCGCTTGATGACACCTTGACTTCTGGTAGTGAGGAACTCGAGGTAGTTAATCAATTAATTTACCTTGGTATCTGCATCAGCAACGATAGGCGCACAAGCACTGAAGTCAGTGCACGTTTTGCAAAAATCAGAGTTACTTTTGCATCTGCGACATCTTTGGCGACAGAAAGGAGTTTTCATCGGTCTGAAGGACTGTTATCAAGGTCACCGTTCTACACTATGGAAGTGAGACTCGGCCTCTTAGATCTGGCAATCCGAGGCGACTTCAGGTCTTTAATCATCGTTGCTGGTGGAGCATTAAGGTTTCGGATGGCTCCAGTGAGTGTTAGGTTAGTTTCTTAGAACGCCAGATAGCACTGAGTAAGTTACGCTTGGCTTGGGCACGTATCACGTATGTCAGATCGCTGCTTGTCAAGGAAGGCTTGTTTTGTTTTCCGGATGTATGGTGCGCGAAAGTTAACTTGTTAGCGGGAAATGAAGTCACTGACCGCCCAACTGGGTGCCGTTGGTCAATCTCGCCTTCTACTTTGTAGTCCACATGACTCGCTTTGTGCTTTCTTTGCCTCATTACAGGACATGGCGCGTGTGCCATCGTCTCCTAATCGGACTATCCGTTTAAAATGCTTTTGATACTGTGTTATCTGCGGGGTAATGGCCGATTATGATGCGGGGGCGGTGAAAGTCACAGGGAAGCTGTCTCGCCGATGCCGCCTTATTTTTACACGATAGCCAGCTGTTTGTGACATTATGTTGTTGCTAAGGTGTAGCCGCCTTGACACTGAATGTTTACATTACATTACACATTAGCTGAACGTGAGGAACACACTTAAGTTAACTGTGCTGCAATACAAATTATGCAATATATGAAGAACGTGATGCTAAACATTACAGAATCCCAAAAAATACAAGTGATATAATGCTGACTGTCATATTATACATTGTGGAATCGTTGTTGGAGGGAAAGATGGGCGATACGAGGGTGGAGAAAGAAACTCATAAAACCAACCTTACTGAGGTCGGCTCCCAGACATGTGAACTAATGTATCGAACCAAACGTGTTCATCGTCCTTCGGACTCCAGCCTTGC